GCTGCCGGGGGCTCCCTGGCGGCAAGGCCTGGCCCGCGCCACGTCCCTGTCGCGCCTGTGGCCTCGCCGAGCAGCCGGGCTCCGCGGGGACGAGCAGCAAGAGCCGCCTGCAGCTCCCATGGCCAGAACTGGGCTATTTTTACGTGATGGTCATAGCCAAGAAACAACCGCAAGCTGGTTTGGATTATGAATTCCCTTTCAGTTCATAATTTCCCAAAATGTTTTTATTTTGTGACTGCTTCATGTACTAAATGTTTAAACTGTTGCAGACCTTTTCTTAATAGGACAAGAATAATTAAGAATTCTGCCTGACATCCTTTTTAATTAAAAACAAACAAAAAAAGATTTGTGGAACTGCAGCTATTTTCCTTTTGCCAAAAGGAAAGTGGAGAGCAGCAATGTACTTGCCTCCAGAGCCCAGCCAAAGCAGAAAAGATAGAAGTGATGTTAAATAAATTTGGCCCTAAAATACCACTTATACCCTTCTATTTGCAATTCATACACAAAAGGGAAGAGAAAAACTAGATAAATTTTAGAGAAAAAGGGAAAATCCACAGGCCAGCAGGGCCATTTTTTATGATGTAATGAACTGTGTGCACCAGTCAATTCCATTTGTACTCTCTAAGAAGCAATTAGTTAAGATCTAAAAACACTGGGGCAATAATGATAATATTTAAAACCCACATAGGCCACCAGAATGTTTTACTTAATTCTTGCCATTCATCAAGCTTATAGCTAATTAATATTATGCTTGGAAACCAAATATTTATGGAGCAATTGCATTTCAGCACTTGCTGTCCTAATGGCTGTTTAATGTTGGGGTTGGTGTTCTTGCCTCACGTGGCAGCGACCTTCCTTCCACACACCTTTAATGGCTGGATGCAATTCAATCAGATTAATGAAAGAGCTGAATTAAATTAGCAACATATTTCAGCCCAGCGAATCCGTCACAATCAAGTGTGGCTCCAGCAACTCGTCCTGTGCCAAACTCTCCGGGAATCACTCTCCAGAGCGGCACATCTATCACTTAACAGCCAGAAGCTAAGTGCAATAACTCTCTGCCTATTATTATTATCTACCATGCTCTTCTATGTTGGCAATATATAAAGGGTAAGGCTACGACGTGAGAAGGGGATCCTTGTGAGGGGAAGGAAATGCTGTGTTCAAAACCCCTGGTACCACTGCAAAAGGACTGCAGCGATATCAAAAGTAATATATAACTGCTATAGACTGCAGCGATATCAGAAGTAATATATAACTATTATAGTAAACACACTTGGGTAAAGGCAAAAATTGTTAAATTGGAAGTTTGGCCATTTCATTACACCTGACAGGCTTGTGAAATACTGCTTTCAACAGCTGAAGTGTTGCCTCATTTCGCAATAGTGCAAGAGCTACCCCTGCACCATTAATAACTCTGCAATTGCAGCAGCTCCCACATCCCTGGTACATGGCGACAGGAGACAAACCAGTGGGGACGGGACTCCGCGCTGGGCCGCCGCCGCCTGCGTGTTCCTGCTGCAGCCACACTCCGAGAGCCGTACCCGGCCTTGCCTTGTGCACGCCTGCCAAGGCCTTTTTTTGGAAGCAAACAGAACTACACTTGTTTCTCACAGAACCTCTCTGAAGGCCCCAGAAATGGGGCATTTCCCCTCAGGTCTGTGTGAATAAAGGATCCTCCTCCATTCACTCCCTTCCAGCAAGATTCCCAGCAGAGCAAAGGGCCTGCTGCCCTCCTCAGCGCTCTGGCCACGCGGCCGCACCGCACACGTGTGCGCTTCACCGCTACCAGCACCGCTAAACCAGCCTGCACAACATCCCCCATTTGGTAAAGACACTGACAGTATATTCTCAAATTAATACAAAGAATCACCTGGAATGCTTCATTTTGAATGGGATAAAGAAAACTCAGGAAAAAAAAGGCAACTTGAAATTACAAAAATATCCTTTAAAAAATTGAGATGTTTATACTTAACACATAAAAACTGCATCAATTTTTAATAAATTACATAAATCGACAGAATAAAGCTAGCTGGCTACATCTGCTTCCCAGGCAAATATTCATTACTCTGCTCCGCAGAGGGAGCTATATGTGATCCAGCTAAGACAAAGCCCTTGTGCCAGCGCTCTGTGCGACTAGTCAGCTGAACAGATTGAATTCACAGGCGTGACTTCAGATGGCGAATTTGAGAAGACACGAGGTTAAACTCCAGGGGATGACAGGGTCACATCAGGTTCTTTAAACCTAACACTGCTGAATCCCGCGTCTCAGGTTGCACGAGGATGAAGGGCTTTGCCAGCACAAAGCGGGGAGCGTTCACACGGAAGCAGCGGCATTTACACCACCAGGACGTCTGACAGACTCTGACATGGTTTGTTACAGAAATCAGAATTTAGCATTTGTTGCAACCACTAAATCAAAAAGCATTAAAGCTGTCTGTATGGAACCAGCTGTGGGATGAGAAACTAGGACAAGAAATTTCCAGTTTAGGTGATCTTAGCAGCCTGCTACTTTCTACCAAAATATACTTTCTACCAAATATAGTTCTTGTCAACAGCACTCATCTAAACAGACGGGACAGGGACAGAACATAACTTCATAGCATTGATGATTAAAAAGAAAGAGGTGAAGGAAATGTAATTTAGCTCTATCAATGTAAGCTCTGTGTTGTCCTTTATTATGAGACACAAGTTGGGTCTGTAACAAGATATAACTGAGGAAAAAACATCTGTTTTTTTAGGAAGCTTCCTGACAGACATAATTTTATAAGAAACGTGGCTAGTACCTTAAAACTAAAGGTACTCATCTATATCCCAGGATGACCATCAGGGATGCTAAGTACTGAGTGAAGTGGTAGATTCCCAGCGTGTGCAAATCCCAACGCATCAGAAAGCTCCAAGAGAGCAGTGAACCACCCTGCACGACTAAATTCCGGATGACCAAATATTATTTTAGGGTCTCCTTTCAAAGGCCCCACTCTTCGAACTGACACTTCAGGCTCCCCAGCTAGATATCATGAAGATGGCAGCTCTCAAACCACACGGGATACATGGAGCGAGAGCTATGCAAGAAAAGGAGCCTCCCCAAAACTCAATCCTAAGATAAGATTCAGCACAAGCAAAATTCCAAAAGCTCTTCACACACCACTCCACGACATGCCTCTGCCACAATGGTTAACTGTGATTTATACAGCAGTGCACATTAAGGCAGTGCATTACCAAAGGAATATGTTAACTTTTTCTCTTTTTCTTAATTCAGCTGTAGGTGGTGAGGAAGGGAACGATTAATGTCTGTACTTAGTTTCAGAATTACATACTTGAGAAATCCAGGTCATAAAGCTACACACTGGGTTTTGCACAATCCACAACACAGTTTCAGGAATCAAATTTTACCAATCCTACTATAAAAAAGGCACTCAGCACAACAGCGCTGCGAAAGGCTTCATTTTGGACAGGGAAATCTCAGTTAACGTTCTTGGATGATGTTCTAGGTTGGCGTAACCCCACTAGAGGCTAATGGAGCTGCAATATGTCCAAGGAGGCCACGTAACTCCGGAAACGCACAGACCCTCTCTGCAGTGAGTCTGCTGCCTGCCTCTTTCTCTTTTCCTGCGGAAGGAGCAAACCCAGGGCTCTCCTGCACGGGGAGCTGAGCGCAGGAGCCGCAATCCCCAATGCCCAGCATGCTGCATGCTGGTATTTGTATCCCAGACCTCCTGAAAAACAGTGCAAAGAGATCAGCGACCCTCTGAGGCCCAGCCACCATCTAAATACTGTTTTCAGGAAATATTATTTTGAACAAAGTTTGGCCGTGATTTTTTTAAAAAACTCTTTGCAGCCAGTGACTTCTGTTTGCTTTATTCCTCAGAGAATAAAGAGTTTGCATGGCTCTCTGGAGCACCTCTTCTCTATATCCATAGGAATGGTGGCAGTGCCTGTGTCCATGCTAACAGAGCACGAGTGGTAAGCTCTCTACGCACAGAGACTGTACCATTATCACTGGCAAAAGCCTCGAGTGTAGCCCTAATTTTTGGATTACAGCATCTCGCTGTGATAGGATACATGTGGATTGGCTACAGCAAAACATCAAATTCATCTTGAAAATGCTTTTTGGTAAGGTACTTGCTATTATTAAGGTCTCCAGGTTATGTGCAATTGCTTACAAGGAAATAGTTT